TCAAAAGTGAAGAACACGCTCGGCATCTCTCAAGCTGAAAGAACTGAAGAAAACAATTTAAGCCTCAAACTGCAATACTGAAGGATTCAGTGGGCAAAATACTGAGCAATGCAGGAAGCATCAAAAGAAGATGGAAGGAATACACAGAGTCACTGTACCAAAAAGAACTGGTCCACATTCAGGCGGTAGCATATGATCCAGAACTGATGGTACTGAAGGAAGAAGTCCAAGCTGCACTGAAGGCACTGGCGAAAAACAAGGCTCCAGGAATTGACAGAATACCAACTGAGATGTTTCAACAAACAGATGCAACAACAGGAGCACTCACTCGTCTATGCCAAGAAATTTGGAAGACAGCTACCTAGACAATTGACTGGAAGATATCTATATACATGCCCATTCCAAAGAAAGATAATCCAACAGAATGAGGAAATTACTGAAAATACCATTAATATCACACCTAAGTAAAATTTTGCTGAAGATAATTCAAAAAAATGGTTGCAGTGGTACGTCAACAGGAACTGCCAGAAATTCAAGCCAGATTCAGGATGTGGAAGGAGGGATGTCACTGCTGATGTCAGATGGATCCTGGCCGAAAGCAGAGAATACCAGAAAGATGTTTACCTGTGTTTTATTGACTATGCAAAGGCATTCAACTGTGTGGGTCATAATAAATTATGGATAACATCATGAAGAACGGGAATTCCAGAACACTTAACTGTGCTCATGAGAAACCTGTGCATAGACCAAGAGGCAGTCATTTGAACAGAACAAGGAGATACTGTGTGGTTTGAAATAAGAAAAGGTGAGTGTCAGGGTCGTATCCTTTCACCATACCTACTCAATCTGTACTCTGAGCAACTAACCCTAGAACCTGGACTATTTGAAGAAGAATGCAGCATCAGGATCGAAGGAAGACTCATTTAACAACCTGTGATATACAGATGACACAACCTTGCTTGCCGAAACTAGAGGACTTGAAGAACTTACTGATGAAGATCAAAGACTACAGCCTTCAGTATGGATTACACCTCAACATAAAGAAAACAAAAATCCTCACAACTGGAC